GCCAGAGAGGGTTTGAATATTTGATGTGAGCCCAGGTTCCACATCCACTTAGATTCTCTAAGGTTGAGATTTTCTTTTGTAGGTTTTTTAACAATCTCTATACCCTGAAGCTGCATGTCAGTGGTTCCGTTGTGACCAGGGCTATTGAAATGTTGGCCGACTGGGGTGCCTGAGTGGTTTTGTACTGAGTACCTGTGATTGTTAAATCTGGCCCTAAGAGTGGTGGTGGTTTGTCCTACATATTGGGCAGAGCATATTTTGCATGTTATTAAGTAGATTACATTTTTAGTTTCGCAGTTGATGTTATCTGTAAGAACTTTTTTGAAGAGAGGTCCCTCTACATGGTTGGTTTCTGTCATGTAAGGGCATGTTTTGCACCTAGGTTTCTTGCAGGGGTGGTTCTGGGGGGTTTGTGAGGGGTTGTTTTGAGGTGAAGGAAGATGTATCGTATCTTTCGTACGGATGAGAAGGTTGCCAAGGTTGGGGGGTTGTCGGAGAGCGATTAAAGGGGGCTGAGGGAAGCACTTCATCATCTTGTCAGATTTTTCTAATATGTCTTTGTGCTGGTTGTGGATGTTGTGGACATTGGGCAGCTTTTGGTGGTGAGTGGTGACAAAGAATGGCCTTTTCTGATGAGGTTTTTGGAGTTTGTAGCTAAGTAGATCCTTGTGCCTGAGTTTGCACACTTTGTTTATGATTGGGGTTATAAAACTGTTTTGGTATCCACTGCGCAGAAGGTTTTCCCTGAAATCTGTAATTCTAGCATTAAACCATTCATCCCTGGAACAAATGCGTCGGAGTCGGAGCGCACCACTGTAAAAAACTGAACGGAAAATATGTTTGGGGGGGTTGGAAGAAGGGGGGAGGTAGCGCTTAGAATCGGTTGGTTTGAGGTGGAGGTCTGTCTCAATGTTGTTATTGAGAAGGTGGATGGAGACTTTCCGGGGTTGGAGTGTGAATTTGATGGTGTCATGGACACCGTTGATGTCCGAAAGAAATTGATGCGTTTGTTGAGAATTACCATCATGTAGGGCGATAATGTCGTCCATGTATCTCATGACCAAAAAGGGTTGGTTGGGAAGGGGGGGCGATGTTTTTACGCCAAAATTCTGCCATAAAAATGTTGGCATAGGAAGGAGCTACAGGTGTTCCCATGGCTGTTCCTGTGAGTTGAACAAAATGTTGGTCGTTGAAGGAGAAGTTGTTTAGTGTAAGGACTAGTTCCAGGAGTTGACAAATTTCTCTAATTTGACATGGGGTGTATGTAGTGAGGCTAGCGAGAGCAAAGCGGCAGGCTTCGACTCCTTCTTTGTGTGGGATGTTATTGTACATGTCTACAACGTCTATGGCCAAAATGTTGGTGTTGTCTGTAATTTGCCTTTTTTTCATTCAGTGTTTGATCATCATTATAATAATAATGAAAATAATAAGAATAATAATGCTAATGATAATGATAATGATAATGACAATGATAATAGTGATAGTGATCACGTCTTGGGCACACTCCACTGAAATAATTTCGACAGCTTGCACAGTGACACCAGTGACACGTTTCATGTATCCCGACCCTTTCATTGCACAACAATACTGTCAAATACATATTATGCACCCGTAATACATAATAATATATACCTCTGGTCTAGTGTCACCACAGACTTCTTTATTACATGTAGTATGTTTGTGATCATCATCCCAACCTCTCCTACCCCAACCCAAATGTCCACATTCTCACTCCACATTTACTAAAATATATAATAATATACCATGTCGTCTGTCCAACGCACTCTCGAAATCATCAGTTCACTGAGGATAATACTCTAGGGTCCAAACTCAACAAAAATGTGACAAAAAGTTTTTGAAAAAAAATGAACTACACCATAAGGTTGCCATCGCTATGGTGCCTGCTTTTGACATGACATGACATTACCCCAACAAAGGGAGCACGCTGCACGCTATAGTCTACTTTTACCCCCCGGGGCAGTGCCACTGACTGAAGTGTCTTTAGGCCATTCCCAAAGGGGAGACATTTCTCGTTCAAGCATAGTAGAATTGTAAATGGGCTGACTCATGTCACGTTCATAACTGTGTCTGATCTATAACAGGGAACTGCTGCTTTTTCTTTCCTGATCCTTACTATTGTCATTTTCCTCTACTTCTTTTGTTTATTTGTCACTCTCTTGTGACCTGCTATTTTGGGGTGCCTTGATAGTCGAAGCAGACCTTGTGCTGTTGAAGCTAGAGAGGTGAGCAGTCTAAGTCTGATTCCCTGTAAAGACTTCTCTG